ATTCACTTCAAGATGACTTCTTCAGGTTCTTATTAGTTTGGTGCAAAAGTAATTGTGGTTTTGGACCATGAATTTATATCATTATAACTAGACTCAAACACATCTTTATTGATCAAAATAGAAACCATTACAATCAATACATTTTTGCCAATGAGAAATAAGTTGATTTATTCCTGTAGTATATTTGTGCTTCAGGATTTGACAAACTATTGGAAAGCATTTTCTGCATGCTGTTGGTTGTGGAAGCATTTTCCCTGCAAAAGTTGTTGAGATGCTTGAAGAAGTGGTAGTCAGTTTGTTGGTGAGAGGTCAGGTGAATGTGGTGGGTGAGGCCAAACTTCGTAGCTCAGTTTGTTCAACTTTTGAAGCTTTGGTTATGCAGTGTGCAGTCAGGTTTATGGAGAAGAACTGGACCCTTTCTTTTGACCAATGCCGACTCCAGGCATTTCAGTTTTGGTGCATCTCATTGATTTGCTGATTATATTTCTCAGATGTAGTGTTTTCACTGCATTCAGAAAGCTGTAGTGGATGAGACCAGCAGCAGACCACCAAATAGTGACCATGACCGTTTTTTGGTGCAAGTTTGATTTTGGGAAGTGCTTTGGAGCGTCTTCTCAGTTCAACCACTGACCTGGTCATTGTATAAAATCCACTGTTCATTGCATGTCACAGTCCAATGGAGAAATGGTTCTTCATCATTGTGTAGAATAAGAGAAGATGACACTTCAAAATGACGATCTTTTTTTTAATTTTTGCTCAGTTCATGAGGCACTCATTTATCGAAATTTTTTCATCTTTCCAATTTGTTTCAAATGCCTAATGACTGTAGAGTGGTTGACACCAAGTTCTTCGTCAACTTCTCATGTAGTTCTAAATCTATTAGCTTTGAAGATTGCTCTCAATTGGTCATTATTAACTCCCTATGGCCGACTACTATGCTCCTCATCTTCAAGGCTCTCGTCACCTTTGTGGAACTTCTTGACCCACCACTGCACTCTACATTCATTAGCAGTTCCTGGGTCAACTGCATTGTTGATGTTATGAGGTGTCTCTGCTGCTTTATGACCCATTTTGAACTCGAATGAGAAAACTGCTCAAATTTGCTTTTTGTCTAACACCATTTCCATAGTCTAAAATAAATACAAAATAAAGAGCAAATAATAATTCATTGGCCAAAAAAAATACCATAAAGCAAGCAATGTGCATTAACATGATGTATAACATAATCACATTTGTTAAAAATGTATTCCAATATCGGCCGGGCATGGTGGCTCACACCTATAATCCCAGCACTTTGAGAGGCCAAGGCGGGTGGATCACCTGAGGTCAGGAGTTTGAGACTAGCCTAGCTAACATGGTGAAACCCTGTCTCTACTAAAAATGCAAAAATTCGCTGGGTGTAATGGCAGGTGCCTGTAATCCCAGCTACTTGGGAGGCTGAGGCAGGAGGATCACTTGAACCCAGGAGTTGGAGGTTGCAGTGAGCTGAGATTGCACCACTGCACTCCAGCCTAGGTGAAAAGAGTGAGACTTCATCTCAAAGAAAAAAAAAAGCAAAAGAAAGAATGTAGTATTTCAATATCAAATGGCAAATTTAAACAACACAAAAACCACAATGTATGTTTACACCAACCTAGTATTTGACACCTCAGTGGATGTGGCTGCCAGGCTGAGCTTAGCTGGGACTGTAGGTTCAAGTGTCTACAAGTAACCTCTCCAACATGGCAGTTCAAGGAACACTTCCCCATGACAACCAAGTATTCCAGCAAAGCAAGGTGGAAGCTGCAAACAAAGTGGCCTTAGCATAGTGTCTCTGCAGAAGCTGCAGTGTCACTTCTACCTTCCTTTATTGGTAGAATCGATCACAGGTCTCCCAGGAATAAGGAAAGGAACAATAGACTGCACTTCTCAATGGGAAGAGAGTTAAAAGGATTTGCATCTGTTTTAAAACCATCATACTCATGTATACTCTATTATAAATTTTTGGACATTTTATTTTTATGCACTACACTACTGTGAGAAAAAAAAATTATGTCTCAACTTTTCTGAAGTAAAACAAGCATTTTGGTAGACATTTTTGTAGCTATTTTGTAGCTAATTATCTTAAGTAGCTATAATATGTAAAGGAGTAATTTTTAATTAGATTGTCTTAGCATACTAGGTAAGTCACATGGGTTAAAATGAGACATTTAATAGGTAGTTTATTGAGACTTTTTTAGTGGCCACAATGGATGTTTTAATTTTTTTAATATAAAATCTGCCAATAAATAAGGAAATTAACATATTTCTGTGATAGCATTTGCAAATATCTTTACTGAATGTCATTTAATTTGTGTCTTTTTGTGTTTCTTTTTTCACAGAAAAGTATTTTAATATGTAGTCAGGCATATTCTTTATGACTTCTGGATTTTTCTTCTCCTATTTTCTTTTTCATCTTTTAATAGGGAAATGTCGATTAAAAAAATATATTTTTGGGGGGAAGACAGAGAGAGTAGGATAGATTAGTATATTTGTTTCCTAGAGCTGCTATAACAAACGACTACAACTGGATGACTTAGAACAACTGAACTTGATTTTATTCCAGTTCTGAAGGCCAGAAGTCCAAAATCAAGGTGTTGGCAAAATCGTGCTCCCTGAAGATGCTAGGGAAGGATCTGATCCAGGTCTCTCCCTCTCTCTCTCTTCCTCTCCACTCTGCCTCTCATAGCTTCAGGTGTTCCTTTGACTTGTAGATGTTTGTCTTCTTCCTTCTTTTGTGTGTCTTCACATCAGATTTCTCCTCTGTCTAACCCCCTGCTCAAATTTCCCTTATATAAGGACATCAGTCATACTGAATTAGAGCCCACCCTAATAACATAATTTTAACTTGATTACCGCTGTAAAACCCTATTTGCAAATAAGGTCACATTCTGAGATACTCAGGGGTTAGAAATTCAAAATATATTTTTGAGGGGGACATATTTAAACCCACAGCAAGCAGAGACAATGGAAAAATGAAAGCAAACTGGATTTTAGAAGATAGAGATGAGATCTTTTAGGCACTTCAAAGAGAACCTCAGTGAGACAACTAGTTGAAGACAGTGTTTAGGTTGTTTTTCTTTGTCATGCAAAGAATTCCTTCTTTGTATTTATATTCTGCCACTTCTTTTCTCTTTCTTTGACTTCCCTGACTTCTCCTTTCCTTTCTTTTTCTTCTCTCTTCTACTTTTTAAGAGGGAATATACCCTCTTGGTATAAAATTTAAAAGGTCTAGAAAGTAATGCAATGAAAAAGAAGTTTCTCTCTCACAAGTGTCTTGCCTACATTTCCAGAGAGTACTGTTACTAGTTTCTTGTATATCCTTCCACAGATATTCTGCGCACATACAGGTGTACTGTATATCTTCTGGTGTTGTAACACAATGGTTATCCACAGAGTCCGCTATTCTACCTTGCTTTTTACACTGAAAGATATGTTTGGGGTCATTTCATATCTGTTCATTTGAAACTGCCTTATCCCTTTTAATAATCCTGTTTGTGGCCGGGCACAGTGGCTCATGCCTGTAATCCCAGCACTTTGGGAGGCCAAGGCAGACAGATCACGAGGTCAGGAGTTCAAGACCAGCCTGGCCAACATAATGAAAACCTGTCTCTACTAAAAATACAAAAAATTAGCTGGGTATGGTGGTGGGCACCTGTAATTCTGGCTACTTGGGAGGCTGAGGCAGGAGAATCGCTTGAACCTGAGAGGTGGAGATTGCAGTGAGCCAGGATCGCACTACTGCACTCCAGTTTGGGAGACAGTATGAGACTTTGTCTCAAAAAAAAAAATTGCATTTGTTTGAATATTTCCTAATGTATTTGACCTGACATTTACTGATTAACATGTAAGCTATTTGCACTCATTTTCTATTATAAACAATGCCACCATGTCTACATTTTATGAAATTACTAATCACTCACAAGATCCATATATGTATATATATGGTATAACTCCCATATCTGAAGTGTGCAGATTTTAAATTTGTATAAATAGTGCAAATCTTTTCTATAAAGCTTGCATCCCCTCAGCAACATATAATAGTCCCTGATTCTACCTCCTTCAACAGCATATGCTAACAAACATTTTGATTTTCCCCAATCTAAAAGATGAAAAATATTTTCTTTTAGCTTTAATTTCAAAATTAGGAATACATTTGTGCATTTCTTTCACTTTCTCATTTCTTTCTATTTAAAATAGGTTAGTATATTTTTTGTGTTTATGAACTGTTTCCATTTTCTTTTCCATGAGTTGTCTGTTTATCCTTTATTTCCTATAAAAAAGATAGGGAAGACTTGGTGAGTTTAGGGCATAAAACACTGGCCAAATTAGGAGAAGCCTTGTTGTTTTCCCAACTGAGACAAAAGTCTTCCTCATACAAAAGATACATTAGGATATTATCAACAATATCTTCATCAGTATTTATTCAGGAACAAATTGATAGATAAGTGAGAGTGTCTTTGTCTCTCAATATAGGCTTACCCCATCTTGCAAAAGTATAACTACTCCGGAGACATTCGGAGCAGTAAGGAGTGTGTGAATGTTATGTCTGAGTTGTCATAAGCAAGCAGGGTGAGGGAGGAAGGGGAGGAGCAATCAATACACTTAGATCCCAAACATGGCTCTAATGGTCTAAGGCAGTCCGAATCCATTTCTTTCCCAGACTCATTTTCTTCTAAAAAAAAAAAAAAAAAAAAAAAAAAGCAGCTCCATGCCCATGGAATGTAAATCTAACCTTTCAAGCCTCCAAGTAATTCTATAGTTTTTCTCAGTTAGCACAATGAAAGCCCAGTCTGGTTTCATTTTGTTTAGACAAGGTCTGGCTCTGTTGTCCAGGCCGGACTGCAGTGGTGTGATCTCGGCTCACTGAAACTGTGCCTGTCGGGTTCAAGCAGTTCTTGTGCCTCAGCCTCCTGAGTAGCTGGAACTACAGGTGCCACCACAATGCCCGGCTAATTTTTGTATTTTTAGTGGAGACCAGGTTTTGCCACATTGACCAGGCTGGTCTCAAACTCCTGACCTCAAGTGATCCGCCCACCTTGGCCTCCCAAAGTGCTTTAACTAATTTATTTTTGTCCTGGTAACATCTAGCTCATCATTCTTTTATAGAGTAGAGCATTTCACTGTATAGCTGTATTGTAATTTATGTAATTATTAGCTATGTTGTTGGGTATCTATGCTGTTTCCCACTTTACAGTATTGGATAAGTTCCTTAGAAGTGGACTTTCTGACTCAAAAGGCAAATAAGCTTTATGTTATTTGGTACATATTATCAAATAGCCATCTAGAAAACTTGAAAAATTTGGAGCTTGTTTTTAAGTTTAGAAATCAGAAAAAGTATTAACAACATTGTAAGTCATGGTATAGAACAAAAAGGTCAGCAAACTCAGCAAAGGGCCACATTGTAAATATTTTCAACTTTGCAGGCCATAAAGTCTCTGTTCCCTCTCTGCCATTGTAGTACAAGAACGGCCATGGACAATATGTAAATGAACTGGCCTGGCTGGGTTCCAATAAAACCTCGTTTATGAATCCTGAAATTGAATTTCAAGTAATTGTCACATTAAAAATATTATTCTTCTTTCAATTTTTTTTCAGCCATTAAAAACAAGGCCCAGACTATGGTTCACAGGCCACATAAAAACTAGTGCAGGCTTGATTTGACCCACAGGCTGTGGTTTGCCAGTTCCTGGTGTAGAATTGAGTACTTTGATAAACAGTTTTAGCATACTAAAATATCCCTCTTTGAGGAGAAACTTGAACCTTCCTGCAGGTTCTTCTTGGCTCTTTAATATTCACGTGATATTAAGACTTCCTTGGACACCACCAACTGTTAGAGCAGTCAATGGGCAAATAAATGTCTCTGCACATTAATTGCTGTCAATATTGATTTAAATCACAGTTGAGCATATTTCCTAAGGATTTAAAGAATATCCATTGCTATGGTTGCTCAAAGCTGTCCCTGGATTAAGCCAGACCATTAGAGCTGTGTTCAGAATCAAACCGTATTGATTACTCCCCTGCTTCCTCTCTCACCCTCCTCCTTTGTGATAACTTGGACATACACATCCATACACTCCTTATTCCTCTGAACTCCTCCAGAGTAGTGACACTTTTGCAAGATGTGGTAAGCCTATGTTGAGAGAGAAAGACACGCTCACTTATCTATCAGTTTGTTCCTGAATGAATACTGAAGAGGACATTGTTGATGCTAGCCCATGTATCTTTTGTATAAGGAAGACCTTTGTCTCTGTTGGGGAAACAATTAGGCTTCTCTTAATTTTAGCATCTTTGTCATGCCCTAAATTCACCAAGTCTCTTTCTTACCTTTTTACAGTATTTTCTCATTAATTAGCTTTCTTTATACATATTTTCATTTATTTGGTTATGTTGTATTTTATGTAGCTTTATAAACTACATCTTCTCCTTTATCTTCATCTTTTAGTAGAGAGATTTTAATTAAAAAAAAATAAGAATGGGGGGTGACATGCAGGGATGTGGAAGGTCAGGATTTGCCAGGGGGGAGGGGTGAGAATGGTCCTAATGCGCCCCGGTAATCTTTCAGCTTTCTCATAGGATTTTCTTCTAGTCTCTTTTCTTAGTGCAATATAGCAGCGCCATTCAAAACAGAACCCCACATTTATTTAGCTAGTCTCCCTTTTGTCTAATGGCTCCATTTGTGAACCACATTGTCGTGGGAGCCCAGACATGGATTCCCCTGAAGGTCTGGGGACTCTCAGGCTGGAAGTTCTCTATGCCCAAGATCAGAGCCCAGGAAGGAGCTCAGGCCAGAGAGTTTGCCCTGGGGGTTTATATGCAAGGTTGTCGGGAATGACAGCAAAGAGCCAGGCTGCTTGATGAATCCAACGAACAGAAAAATCTGTCAAAACACGCAGAACGTTCATTGCAGGGATCGTGGAAACATTGCCTATTTGTTTGGAGCGCGTTTAATTATTTTTAAACATATGCAGTCTGTAGTTCAGTGAACATGTCAGGAAAAATAGAGGAAGAAAAGCAAACGAGGGAGGGTGGCGCTGTTCCTGGAGCGACTCCTCTTCACAGCTGGCTGATGGGGAGAAGCAGTCGATGCCCTCCGAAGTGTGGCTCCCTGTCTGTCACCTAATGAAAAGCAGTAGGGGGATTAATGTCATTAGCTTCAGGCCGGCATGCTGTGTAGTAAACAGATATACATCCTGGCTCATTTAGGGTAGTATTTCTCAGCTCCTGCCCACCGGCCTGCAAAGGTCACTCCCAGCCTTCTATTAGTTAAATGGGAAAAAAATGGGGTGGTTGAGAGAATCTTGTGGTCTGTTACAGTGAGAGCAGTCACTGGGGATTCTGGCACCTAACTCTACCCCTCCCTCCCTTCACTCACCCTAATTGGGCTTAGATTTCTTCTTTGGGGAAAATCGGAGGTAACCAGAGAAGATAAAAGCTCTACAAGTAAATGCTTTGCAGAAGAAAAAAAAATGTTTTATTTTGATAACTAAATTGACTAAGGAGTGTGGAAAAAATTGGGGGTTTGCTCTTTGGATATCATGACCATCTCTCTTTACTCTTGAACCAATAGCTTTTTCCACATATTAGCACATGCAAAGCTGAAGGCTGGGCCATGCGTGTGTTCACTTTTCTCTAATCCACAAAATGTGAACAGCAAACAGCTACACATGAATAAAACTTAGATATTTTATGTTCTTAGAAAACACAGAAATTTTGACTTTGAGAGTGGAAACTATTTGGAGGATGGGAAATAAAAACATAAGAATGTCAAGAGGAAAACAAATACTTCCTGAGGATGGTGACCAACCTGCAGCCACAACAGGAAATTTTAAATGGAGGAATACCCAGAATCCTCCAGAGAGATCCAGGAAGAGTCTGGGAAGCCATTTTGATAAAATGAAGAAATAACAACTAAGGACAAGAAAAGCATGTTTGAGGGAAATGTGGCAAGGAAAATTCGGAGTTAAGGCAACATTCCACAGATAGTAGATAAAGACAAAAGTAAATGCTGCCTTGTAAGAATTTGCCTTGCTTCTTTTCTTATCAAAGCAGAACAATCTATTTTATATGAAAAGCTTTCAACTGTGCCCTGATGTTTGTGGGCTGTGTAGTATTTTGTAGCAATAGATGTTACTATCAAAGAAACAATATAAATGAAAAGTAAAGAAAAAATTCAGAATCATTTGTATACATTATGTCACAAACTCAATTCTGAGCTCCCCCTCCATAGCCCTATGGCTTCCTGAGAGTCACTGGGAGTGATATTTCCTGAAAAGCATCATGGCACTGTTAATTTTCTCTTCCACTAGTAGCAGGGCAGCAGTGGAGAAAAGGAGATATCGGGAGGAAGAACACACCATCAAAAACCAAAGCAGAACAAAACAACAACAACAAACAGAACAAGGGCAAATTTAAATAGTTTTAGTTTTTAAAGATGAATCTAAATCTTTAGGCCTCACCAGCCTCCAGGTAGAAATAGGATCTGAGAGCTTGATACTAGTTATCAGATTGTTCTCACTGATCAACTGTTGACACAAAGCCTCAGACCCTTCTCCTAGGTCATAACTCACAAGTAAGAAGGAGGAGGCCACTCTGATCCTCTCGCTGCTCTGGAGAGTCACGCACCTGGGAATAATCCTCTACCCTCTTGCTGGCCCCACCATGTCCCAAGGAAAATGGAGACTTCAATGCAGAAAGATTGCTACCCTGCCCAATCAGCTGCTTCCTGATCCTTCCAAAGGACTGATTCCCATTTTCTTCATCAGGCCAGGGTCAATTCTCTCCTGCACACAAAGAGAGAGGATTATGGTTCTTGATGGTTAGATTTAGGCCCCAGAGCCAGCCTGGGGGAGACCCATCCTGGCTGATCTCTCCTTGACTTGTCTCTTCTGAGTCCAGGCTTCAGTGCAGGACACTCCTTCCTCCTGGGTTCCTTTCTTTTTTATCAAAGCACTCATGCCATGGATGCTGAGTGGAGGTGGGTTAAGGGGCAGAGGGAGATCAGGTGGGTTTCCACCATCTGAAGATGAGCTAGGATCTACCTCTCAGAAGTTTAATTACCAAAACTTACAAGAAAATGTTGACATCTTACATGACTTAATATGTTAAAGTAAAAGTTGCCCTTAGGAACAAAAAGGGGAGACTAACGAAACTAGGTATCATCCAAGCTTTTTCAGAAATGCAGTTGTATCAAATAGAGAAGGAATATGCTCTGTGTGCAATTATAAGAAAAGTGAGGCCTGCCTGCTTCATTTTAATGGATCGACTACTATTGACTACTGAGTGGTTTTCTTTTTCTTTTTGTTAAAGATAAAAATCTTAAGAGATTCCCTCTTGCTTAGCCAAATCTAGCAGTTTTCATGTATGACAAAATAAACTCTTCCAGCTGTAGAATGCTGGGGCTATATTTTCATCTCTGGGGTCTGGTGACTACATAAACTGTAAGAACAAAGCTAGAGTGATTTATTTACTAAGTGTCATTGGAAACCTAAGATTTTTTAAGGGTTTGTAAACACGTACAGTATGGGACATATTAGATATACTGTTTGGATAGCACAGAACACTCATAACAACCTTGCACGTTACAAATTTGATCCAGAAAGCCAGTGGGGGTGTTTATCATCCCCTTCCTTGCCCAACCAGTGTCATTGTCTTGCCTGACCTCAGTGTCACAGGGCTTTCTGGATGAGGAAAGAGGAGTACAGTGGTCTCAGAGCCCTGGCTTTGTTGGCCCAACCAATCAAGGGCAATGGGATCCTGTGTTCTTTTCATTGGACTTTATACCTTTTTGTTTTTCTTTTTTCTCTCTTTATTTTTGAGACAGCGTCTCACTCTCTTGCCCAGGCTGGAGTGCAGTGGCACAATCAAGGCTCACTGCAGCCTCTAACGCCCATCTTAGCCTCCCGAATAGTTGAAACTGGAATCACACACCACCATGTCCCACTTATTTTTTGTATGTTTTGTAGAGATGGGGTTTCGCCATGCTGCCCAGGCTAATCTCGAACTTCTGGGCTCAAACTATCTGCCAACCTTGGCCTCCCAAAATGCTGGGATTACAGGTGTGAGCCACCATACCCGGCCAACTTGAAAACTTAATGTGGATCAGAAGCATCTGGAAAATTTGTTAACAAACATGTAATTGCACAAATTCTACCTCTGGAGACTGATTCAGTAATCTGTGTTGAGGTCTAAGAATCTGCATTTTAGTAAGTACCTCCCCTCAATCTAGTGATTATGCAATATAAGAATCACATTTTTGAAACACTGATGAGATCTTCCAATTACAGTAATGCTTTAAATACCATGGCAGTTGGTGGGGGGCGGGGGACGCTTTTTAGGAAGGTGTGAAACACAGCATTTAGTATGTGTCGAGGGCCTGGCCTTGTTTGCTTAATGTGTGGTGTCACTTTAGGACAACTATTGTCATCTTGATGACATTGTTTAGTGTACATTGCAGATGGATTATCTTCTCTATTCCCTCTAGCAGTCTGTTTAGAGCTGGAACCAAGTGACCATAAAATATTGCAGGGAATTTGAAAGTTATTCCATTTAACTCTTCATATTGGAGCTCAGGGAGAGAGCAAAATGTGTGGAGCTCATGTGGCCTGTGTGTATGATTATCTTTATGTGTGCAACTCAGAAACAAGGGCCTTGAGCAAGAAGCAACTTAGCGGGTGGTGCTTTGTAAGCAGCATAACACAAAACACGTAAGGAAAACCGTATGTGGGTATGTGCACGTGTGTGTGTGGTGAGTTACACTGTTTGGCACTTAAGGGTTTGTACCTATACCAAAGGCAAACCACTGGAAAAAATACTTGCCATTTCAAGGACTGCATAAGGTGACAGAATTTCCTCTATGAGACATAAATTTCACTCTCGCTGCCCAGCTGGCCGATTGTTCCAATTCAGTAAATCACAGATTCAACAAACACGTATTTAGAGAAGGAGAGAAGTGGAGGAGATGAGTAATATCAAGCTGTGCAGATTAAGAAGGCCAGGGCTAAGTCTTTGAATTTGTGCACAATAGAATGAATACCTTTTATCCATTCACCCCACTAAACAAGCAGCACCAGGAAAATCATTTTCCAATTAGTCAGCAGGTTTCAGCATCATTACCTTTGAGATCAGATTTGCTACCATTCAAAAATGCATCAGAGGCAGTGTAGGAAGAGTTCAGCATCATTCCTGGCATGCGAGGTCTGGGAGGAGGTGAAATTAGATTAGCTGCAGGAAAATGGGAGGGTTTACATTACCAGAGGGGCTCTACCTGGCTCCAGGCTTAACAGTGAACAACGCTTTCAGCATATGGCATTACAATGGATTAGTGATCAAGTACGATTAATCCTAATAGATCGTCTTTTGAACCTCAGTAGCTTGTTAGGTGAGAAAAAATGGTCTGTCCCCAAAGTGTCAGGTGAAACTCTCATTTGAGGTAAGACTACCATGTGGAGATGGGTCTCCATCTGGTGGCTTCCTTTTGTGAAACTCCACCAGAAGGTGTTTTAATGAGGCTTTTATAGCAGGCACCACCTGCCACTAATCTTCCCCTCTAAAAAGGTGTAATTGAGGGTTGGTTTTACAGTATGGCTCATAGCCTAACCTTGGGAATTCATCAAGAAATGCAAATCTGGGTGGGATGGTGTAATCATGAAATGCCATTTTGGCTTTTGGTTTAGACTGAAGTGGTTATAGAAATTTGTGGTGGGCTAATTACAACCAGCTATATAGTAGCTTCCCCTTTTCAGTTAGACTAATACGTGTGTCATCTCAGAATTAAATAACCAAGTTGATGGTGACCATATGTCTTCATTCAATTTTTTGCACATGTAAAGAGTTGCAAGGCTGCTAGTGGTTCACACAATTTAAAGGTTTCATTTACACTATTAAGGTTTAACTGGTTTGAATTTACTGCACATTCTTCCTCTTAGTAGATGTTTCAGTTCTACAATGTACTATATCAATGAGACATGAGCAAATTACAGAATCACTGAGTTGTTTTCTATCCATGGGACTTGGGGAGTAGAGATATTTTTCTTTATGTCTTAATTTAAGATTCAGATTTCTGTGACGCTGCTATGCTGGCAGGTTAGTTATTGATTATACTGACATTTCCACTCAGGACTTTGAAATATGCTATAGAAGATGGAGTATTATAGAACAGCTTTGATTTTTTAATTCAGCAAACATGAATTAAGTTCTTACCATATACTAGTTAATGTTGCTACAGATTAGGAAATAATACTCTTAATAACAGTAACAATAATATTACACAAATGCTGCTTCCCAATAGTGTGGTATTATTTTGTTTTCATTCTTGTGCTACTCAGAATATTTTTGAAAATAATTTTCTTTTGCTAGTACCACTTTAGAATATTATGTTAAGAAACATCTAGCTATATATAATCAAATTAATAGTATATACACTTAGTAAATTTCAGTATTTGATGTTCATCTATAGGCCATTTTGAAAGACAAAGAAATGGATGGCTCCTGTTCACTTGCCTTTCAATTACTAGTTTAATGATAAGAGTATTGCAAGAAAGGTAGATGACCCAAAATATCCCCAAATTCATACTTGGTTTGCAGTTTGAGTTTGGAATGGCATTTATGAATATAAAATATTTTAAAGCAGAAGACATAAACTACCATCCCAAAGGCTAAATCTGACCTGCAGTTTTATATTTGGGCTTTTATTATTTTTGTTTGCCGGACTACACAGTTTTGTTTGTGTTTTTTAACACAAATTTTAATCCATGTGAACATAATACACTCTTTCCTCTTCACCAAAGGCCCTATTTACTTCTAATCTTACACCAAAGCACACTGACAAAATTGAATCCCAGATCTAAATAAGAAGGCTGATATTCACACAAGTTTGTGAGCATTGGTCCCTTACTTTAGAATCAATCCCTGAACATGTCTGCATGTGTGCAGTGAAGCCCTTAGGAACATATCAGTGAGGGAGAAAGCAGGAGCCCACCCAATTAGCAGAATCACAGAAGCCAAATCTACCATTTGTAGGGCTCAACTTTATAACTGTTTTGCTCCCCTATCCCTAATATCCTTGCTACACAACCAGAAGCCAGAAACTGGAGGGACAGGATAGGTGAGAAGAAGGTAAAACCACATTACTTAAATTATTTTCCACTTAAAAAAAGATTTTACCATGAGTTTGAAAACATGTAACTCTAACTTCAACTTTCCCAATGCCTTTCTCCAGGAAATGTAGTTCTCACAGACATGAATGATTAGAACTAATCCTGCCAAAGAAAAAGAGTACATGAATATTGTTCTGTCATTGACAGGAGAATGACGTTGATTCTATTTTTATTTAGCCTTTAAAAAATTAGGAAATTGGTCTATCATTTCCCCCAAATAATCCCTTAGTGTTGGTTTAATTTAGAGGAAATAATAGCTGCCTGAAGCATGGTCTGTCTCTTAGTATTGGCTATGTCCATGCATCATGTTAAAGAAGTATCCAACTTCTCCCTGCCTCAGTTTTTCTACCTATTTTACTCATTCCACTAATGCCATAATCAAACTTAGCCTTGGGAATTACTATGAAGCAAGAAAATGGTGTCTTTGAAGTTTCCTCACTTGATGCTGCCTTTTACTTTCCTGTGACATCTGGTAATGCTCATCCTGAATGCAGCCCCTCCTCAACTCTGCAGCACAATGCCAGGGCTTCCAGCCTCAGACAGTTCACATCCACATCTGCGTATCCGTGTCTCTCCAACCCAAAGTCCCTGGGCCATGATTTTCTAGCTACTTTCTCACTGAGCACCTTGCCGTGAAATGGGTTTTAGTAGGCTTATGATTTTGCACTTTTTAAGCATTCAGTCATAAGCCAAGGGAATGGTTCTTTTGATAAAAATGAATAAAAGCTCTGTAGCTCGATTAGGGAATCATAGATGAGAAGGGGCCTATGGATAACCAAATCATACAGCGCTTTGCCACCACTAAAGATGGGTTTAGAATAAAACATTTAATTTCTTGAAGACATATTTAATCATGTCTAAATGAATTATGAAAAAGGAACTTAAGTTTAAAACAGACTATGATAAGGACTTTTTTTTCTTTTGAGATGAAGTCTTACTCCGTCACCCAGGCTGGAGTACAATGGCATGATCTCAGCTCACTGCAGTCTTCATCCCCTCCTCCTCAAGGGTTCAAGCAACTCTCTTGCCTCAGCCTCCAGGGTAGCTGGGATTAGAGGTACCCACCACCATCACCTGGCTAATTTTTTTTCTATTTTTAATAGAGATGGGGTTTCATCTTGTTGTCCATGATGACCTCGAACTCCTGAACTCAGGCAGTCCATCTGCCTTGGTCTCCCAAAGTGCTGGGATTACAGGTATGAGCCACCACACCCAGCTGATAAGGAGTTTTATGAAAATGAGAAAGTTATCTGGGTATGTTTCCTGTGACTTTTAGGACTTGGGGATAGACAGAATGGAGGTATATTGGCTAAATCTTTGTGATCCCATGTTTTTGGTAATAAGTAGGTGAGTACTCACTTCTTTGGCTCAGCTAGAAGTCAAAGAAATCTCTTTAAACTCTTTTCTTCCTCACACAACATTCGCCAGCATAGTGACACTGGGCTGCATTTTGTGTCCCTAGGTATCTTCAGTTCACTACTGATTGTCCTCTTTCATAAATTATGTCTTTATTTTACTCTTCAGCATTCAGCTTTCCAGCTTTCCTATGCTCTCCCTAAGAGCCTTGCAGTGTGCCATTCTTCCTCTGGAGAACCCACCTGTAAATGAATTTTCCCCCCTCAGACTTTGTACATGAATCCCAAAAATGAGGTTGGCTCACCTTGACATTTTATTGTTGTCTGGCATTTTACCTTCTATATTCCTCAGTATGTCACATATGTTTGTAACTGAGGCCAGGAAAGTTTTAAGAGAAGGGAAAAAGAAGAGAGCAAAGGAGGGAGGGATGGAGAAGAAAGGACCAAAAGAAGATTTTTGTTTAAATCCTTGTTTCTGTTTTAGATAAATCATTTAGACAGTGATCCATCTCCCTAGAATCAGACAAAAATGTAGGTAAGCAAACTTAGATGAATTTATCTATAAGCATGAAAATTACTCACCCAAAACAGTAGCATAGGTGTGGTGTTTGTCCCTGAGAACAAGTTGGTGGCATCTGGCAGAGATTCACAAAAGTGTTTGTGAGACTTATATTTATGGAAGATTCCTGAACCAGCACAAGATTTTGATTCGTAGACCTGGGTTGAATTCCAGGAATCTCCATTTTAACAACCACCCACAGTGGTTCTGACACTGTTCTAAAGAAACTATATTTCAAAAAGTTGTTGGCTATTTCATCAAGATCTTCATTACTCTTCCTGGCCCTTTGAGAATCCTGAGTGAGGAATTTCAAAGATGAATGTGTCTAGAGAAAGAGCTTGTTGCATAGAGAGCCAGTAAATTTTATTGCAGATTATATATTTTTTTAATTTAAAAAAGAGCCATCTTGGACCAGTTATGCTCCGTAAGTAAAGCACATAAGCATTAACCTTGAAAGAGTCTAGCCTCTGAAGCAGTTACTGTCTACTCACCAAAAGAACTGGAATGATTATGGGCAGCCCAGGCTAGGTATGTAACGTGGGTGTTAAGACTCTGTTTACAAAAACCAGTGTGGGAAGGCATGGAATTTTCAGACTGAGTGATATTTGTATACACAGTTCCTCAATTTGTAATCTAGAGGAACCCAAAGTTTGTTTGCTGCAGGTGCAAATCTCACATTGCAGCAAAGCTGGACATTCCATGGCTCCCAAGCTGATGTGTTGCCCTGCCTGCCCTATGCTTCCCTCCTTGTCTACTTTAGCCAGTTCCTTAAAAGCATCTGATTTAGATAAACTATAACTATTCGAAGCATTATTGCTTAAAGCCCCCATGCCAACTCACAACACTGTAAAGTTTGAAATCATCAATCAGTAATTATCTTCATATGTTCATGATGAAATAAAGTTGCAGAAAAGGCCAGTTTTTGCTTCAAGAGTACCCTCTTTTAGTTCTTTTAGGGTGGTAGTGATGTCTATGGACATTGGATAGTCTCATGCACAAAGAAATTCAAGTTGGAGAAAGCAAAAATATCCAAACATGAAGGGCAATGAGAGCATCCCAGCCTTTGGCCAACAAAAGGACCTGGGTCAATAATTTTTGGCTGAGTCAACCAGTACTTGAAATTTAAGTGTTTTACCCAACATTCCTATCATATATATAAAGGATTTCAGATAGAAATGTACTACTAGTACATAATATAAACCACTATTCTTTTTAAACTTAGAATCTACATTTGCATTCATTCTGAAGCTTATCTTTTATTTCTAAAGCTTGCAAACTAGATGCAATATTAACTTTCAGCAAGCAGGCCTGGTGCTTACTCAGGAAAAAGTTTCCC